GGGATTCGGGCCTAACCTTCAGTCACCGATTTATTTGGGCTGGAGGGGTTCGGGGATAGCATGGGAAAGTGGTGATGACGTAGAAGAACAGCCAGTTCCGTTGAAGGGGGACTCCAGTGACCTCCTGCTCTACTCCTCCTCCTCCTCCTTCACCCCTCCCTCCACCCCCAAGCCTTTCTCTGCAGTAGGTACAATCCTGCCCTCTCAGCCCTGTGCCAACCTGGGCAGTGGCTCAGTTCAGATGGGGAATGGTCTTGCGGGAGGGAGGGGCAGGATAATGTACCCATGAAGCATCCACCGCACCCCCCCCTCACCCCCTCCAGCATCACCGACGCTCAGTAGCAGTGGCGTGAAACCGTCTACAAGATGAACTGCAGCGTCACAGCCCAGTCGCCTGTGGCAGCACTTTCCAAAACCATGACCACTTCCATCGAGGAGGGCAGCAAATACACGGGAATACTACCCCGCCCTCCCCCCCCGTAAGATCCCCCTCCAAGCCACTCACCGCCCCGACTTGGGAATATATTGCCGTTCCTTCACTTGTCGCTGGGTCAAAATCCCTCCCTCCCCAGCGGCATTGTGCATCAAAGTCAAAAGTCACATGACACCGGTCCAACAGATTTGTTTGAAATCACAAGCTTTCGGAGCACTGCTCCTTCATCAGCTGAAGTTCTGTATATCGTGCATTAGCCTAGCTTCCTGGCTCTGTGTGTGTGTGTGTGTCGCTCACACCCTGACTGAGCATGGAGCAAGCCACACAGGTCCATCTGAGGTGCAGTGCCTCCATACCTCCCCAGAAACATGCCCGACCTTCGAACGGAGCTGCGAGGGAATTTGTTTGAACTTTCAAAAGAGAATTTGATAGAAGTGCTTATAGCAGGAAACATTTGGAGGGTGTAAGGTAAAAGGGCAGGGCGCGTAGTGCCTCTTAGAGGGGATTTTGCAAAGAGGCTGCACAGTGTTGAATGGCCTCTGCCCGTGCTGTGACTATAAATAGATAGAATGATCCATTCAAATGAAGTTAAGCCGTGACGCTTGTGTTATCCAATGTGGCCAGGAGCCCAATGTGTTTCGTAAGATGTAGTCAGGCCAGGAGTATATGTTTTGAGTGTTTATTAATTGTGGTTTTGAATGTTACACTAACTTCATATTGACACTGTACCGTTACCAGCTGTTTTCAGTGTTGGGGCTAAAATCCTGTTACCCATTGGTTGGGGCAGGAGCGATTTGGGAATAGCATGGGAATGTTTGAGTAACTTTTCCTGTGTGTGTGTGTGTGTGTGTGTGTGTGTAAGAGAGAGAAAAAGGCTGAAAATGCTCAGACTGTGCCTGGATGTCGTCCTCGCCGCAAGGATCAGGTGCCCCCCACCCCCACTGGGCACACCGCACTGCTTAGCCGCCAGAACCCTCCGGCTTGTGTGAGCGCCGCAGTATCGCTGCGCCTGACCTCTGCAGCTTTGTGGTGGGACCCGCTGGCCTGTGCCGTTTTGCCACGCAGCGCTTGCTCTGGCCTGTGTCTAGCTTCCATTAAAGCGCCTCCGCTGGGGCCAGGGTGCTTCTGCATTGGGGTAGAAACGCACGCAGAGGGAAGCCAGCAAAGGGGTGGGGGTGGGGGTGGGGGGTGATCGGCTGTTTCTTAGCTTGCTCGCTTCCCCCCACCGCTAAGGCTTGGGCGCTGACTGCTTTTTATTAACCTTTCGACCTGCCGTTGCTCTCCAAGCGCCCTTCCCGCAGCTTGCCACGCTCTCACCGTCCGTAAGCCAAGGGCAGCCCGAGTATCTGGACGTCCCCTCGGTCTATGAGCAGTCAGAGTTGTCCTCAGAGACCAGGTATGACGAGGGCCGCGGTGTGCCGATTGCAGGACCCAGCGACGGGGGTCAGAGGCCGTCGGTCGAGCAAGGAGGCAGGACCACCGGCCAGCCCGATGACCGGTCGCCGCTGCCAAGACCGGTCAGGCCCGAGGACGACGAGAGGAGGACCACCAGCCCCGGTCGCGGCAGCCAAGGTACCGGCGCCGAGGGCCCCTACCACCAGGGCCCCACCAGCCCCACCCACTCGCAAGGGCTGGTGGTGGAGGAGGAAGGCCTGCCCAACGGGCACGGGCGCCAGCCCAAGACCATCATCTCCTGGCAACCCAGCACCGTCGCCTGGGAGTACCTGGTCACGTGCCACCCTGTGGGCCAGAAGGAGAAAGTTTTCGAGGTAAATCACCTTCCAAATCCCACCCCCACCACCCCCCAGTGCTTAAGTGGTGTCATTTATTGGAGGCGGGAGGGCGATGGGAAGGTTGTTCGATTGGGGGTGGAGGGGGGTGGGGCGCGGGTTATGCACTTAATTGGGTCAGCCACTCGCGTGGGCGCTGCCACCTCCCCAGAGCCAGCGACGGCTGAGAGAGTGACAGCAGGGCCCAGGGTGTGGAAGCAGGCCATTCAGCCTATCGGGTCGGCACTGACCCTCTGAAGAGCATCCCGCCCACACCCACAACTTCCCCGTACACCACCCCCACCCACCCCACCGCTCCCCCTTACCCTATCCCTGTAACCCTGCATTCCCCCATGGCTAACCCACCCGGCCTACACATCCCTAGGCCCTGTGGGGCAATTCAGCGTGGCCCATCCACACCTAAGCTGCACGTCTCCGGGCTGTAGGAGGAGGAGAACCCACGCAGGCGTGGCACGGACGGTCGCCCCCAAGGGTGGAATCGAACCCGGGTCCGTTTCCTCCCCCCCGCCTGCCCCCGGCGGCTGTGAGGCAGCGGCGCTAACTGCTGAGCCAGCTGCACCGGCATCCTGCTGGCGGTGAAGAAAACAAAGGCCCCAGCCCGGCCAGGAGACAGCCTCAGCCGTTGGTTTTCCGACCTTCCTCGGGCCGGGCCAGGACTTCATGCGAGTTTCGCTTCTCCTTCGGGGACCACCCCTCCTCGGCCCTGCTAGCTTCCGCGAACGGGACGGGACGGGACTGGGGCGGCCCCGTCCGGGATGGGCGGGCGGTGGGGGGAGTGTGGTATCAGCAATGGGAAGGGCCGGGGAGGAGTCGAGTGGGGGGTGGGGGCGAGAGGCAGGGCGGAACCCATCGCTTCTCCCGTGCCCAAGCCTGACGCGCGTTTCCCCCAGCAGGCCTCATCCAGACCGAGTCGAAACTGAGGTGGCCTAGGTCTGGCTCTTGATACCCGGCCGAGCCCTCAGGGCAGGCAGAAAGAGGAACTCCCGGCTCCCTTGCAAATGATCTGTTCGCGCCCCACCGACCCTCGGCGCCACCCACCCAGCCGCCCAAAACAAAACGATAACTTGCGTTCTCGGGGAATGAAAGGGGCGCCGTCTGAATTTACCTCCTCTCTCTCTCTCTCTCTCTCCCCCTCTTTTTCTTTCTTCTTTTAAATAAAAACTCTTGCCGTCCAGCTCCGGGTACCGGGCACATCGACGTACGCTGTGCTGCCCAACCTCGTGTTAGGGACGCAGTACAAGGTCCTGGTGGAGGCCATAGATGCGGAAGGGAAGCACAAGATCCTGGAGGAAGTCATCACGGTCGGAAGTACCTGTAAGTGGCGCCACCGCCTGTGTCCTGGCACCCCACCTGACCGAACCTTTCCAAGTAACCCTGTGACAGGGCGGCGATGACTGATTAAGGCATTGGGCACTTCCAGAGATCAGTCGGTTAACGGTACCGTCAATGTGCCGCCCCCCCCCCCCTCCCCCCCCCCCGGGGCCTATCTTTTCCCCCCCCTCAACCTCCCCCCCCCCCCACCCATCAAGATTTCTTCCCCTGCCCTCGAGCTGTGAATCCCCCTTCCCCGTTGGCATTGACCGCTCAGCCCCGCTTAGGCCGAAAGAGGCCGAGGAGCTCCTCTGCTGCACCCTCCGGGGCCTGTGCGGTGGTGCAGTTCCTTGCCAGAGCCTGCAGCGGGTAAGAACTGGCCCAAGGGCCGCCTGGTGAGTGTGGTGCAGCCTGTCTAGCTTTTGGAGGAAGGAGTGAGCAGAAGGAAGAAACATGTTGAGAAACCCATGACAAGAGGGGCATTTGGTCTGTCACTAACCAGTGTCTCAGTGCATCATCCACGCAAGGTTTAAGGCCCAAAGACCCCTCTCTTCAATCCTTGTGCAACAGCAACAACTTGCATTCGTCTACCGCCTTTTGTAAACCGTTCCAGAGTATCTCACAGAGCACTGACACAATACAAAAAACAAAATTCACCCGAGCGGGTGGGTTTGAAGGGGTGTGCTGAAAGCGAGGTGGGGGAGTCGGGGGGGGGGGGGGGGGGGAGGGGAACGGTTTCTTGACGGGAAAGGGCAGCGAGGTTTAGGCCCAGGATTGGAGAGACCGCGCAGATGCTTGGGCGGAAACACCTAAAACAGGAGGCGATCCCTTCGGGGCCAGGGTCGGAGAGGTTCTGGAGGGTCACGTGGGGCAGGAGGAGCTAACAGAGGGCTGGGAAGGAGCAATGCCATGGAGCGGGGGTGGGGGGGGGGCGGGAGGGGGGAAACACGGATTTTAAAGCGAAACAACGCCGGGTGCGAGTGACCCGGGCCATGGACTCGTGGCGGATTCTGGAAGCATTCACCATGAGCTGCTGCACACCCGGCCCTCGGTTGGGGGTGGGGGGTTAGTAGCGGGATCTGTGTGGGAAGCCGGGGTTCAGTTTTACCCCCACTCCTTGTGAAACGCTCCATACCCTCACCATGAAGAGCCCCTCTCGCCACTGGGGAGACCAGGAGCAGACAGGTTGGGGCGGGCGGTCTGGCCTGCAGAGGGGGGTGTAACAGGCCCTGGCGGCAGGGCGTGGAACCTGGGACCCCTTTGTGCCGAGGCCGGATGGCGTCAGGAACGAACGAGCTCCTTCAGACACGCTAAGACCAAGGGGCCCCTGTCAGTGCAGTTTACCAGCCTGACCCTGCTCCCTCTGGCTGAGCAAATACCGACAGCGGTCTTCGACGCAGTGGGGGCAGTCAGGGAGCAGGACAGGAGTTGGTGGTGGCGGGGGGGTGCCCTTTCGATTCGTTTCAGTCAATGTGGATTAAGCCTGGGGCAGACTGGATCAACCGAACCAGGCGTGAGAGCGACGTCGAGAGATGGGGAGGGACCCGCATGCGTGCGCGGATGCGAAAGGTCACCCCTGTGATTCTCTGGCAGTGCCCGCCCGCTGGGGTGCGTTTGCAGATAAGACCCCCCCCCTCCCGTTTCGACACGCTCGATTGCTTTCCCTCGAACGAATGTCAGCTCCAAATCCCGTAACACTTGGGGTGGGGTGGGGAGGGGGGTTGACCCTTCTCTCTGCACCAGAAGGAAGGTCAGGGGCTCACGTCACATCACACTCTCCTTGCCCCACTGTCCTGCCACGGGGTTGGGGGTGGGGTGCAGCCCTGTCAGAGTCAGTGCAGAAGGAGGCGTCAAACCCAAGGCTTAGCCCCCACTTCAACCCCGGGTGGGAAGGATGTTGAAATATCCCGTGGCACCCCTTCGAAGAATGACAGTGGAGTTCACCCCAGAGGGTGTCCATTTGTTCGCTCATCATTAACCACAGGGTTGTCCTGCTCACTATCTCCATTGTCAGGCATCATCTGTTTCCCAGCTGGCGACTGGTGTCTGTTTCCACAAGGATTTCAGAGACTAATACACCTTGAGAAGGTGCTATATAATTGCAAGTTGTACTTAGTTTTCATTTCCCCCTCCCCCCTGCCCCCTGACCCTGGCTGGAATCTTACCATCTCCCCGCTTCAGTCCCAACAGCTTGCATTTGTGTAGCGCCTTCCGCAACCTTCCACAGCACCAGGTGCGAGCCCTGAATTGTAGTCATCGCCGTCCAGCGGGAGACATGAGCACAGCAAGGTCTCGCAGAACCTAACATGGTGGTGGTGGGGGGGGTGACAGTTGACGAAGTTTGTTTTCAGGCACCTGGATAACCTCCCAAGTGGGACCCCATGGTGTCACAAGACCGCCTGCATCCAGCAGAGAGGACATTGAGGGCCCCAGCAGTTTTTGCATCTAACCCAGGTGACTGTACCCATTGGCAGTGCTGCACTCCCCCGGGCGCTGCACTGGGGACGCCAGCCTGGATTCTGTGCTCGGGTCGATAAGCGGTGACTTGGATCTGCGACCCGAGGAGAGAGCCTGTGCCAAGTGAGCCGCGGTTGGGAGTGGAGTGGAGTGGAGGACTTCTGTATTTTAATCCCGAATCAAAAGCTCAGACGTTGTGGGGTCTTTCCTTCCCACCCCCTCCACCAAGTTGACCCTGTTCTTCGTTTTTTATGTTGCAGCTCCCGACCAAGCCTCCCACCTCATCCCCGATGAATCCTGCTTCGACACGGCCACAAACTCCCACTACGCCATCGGCCAGGAGTGGGAGCGAATGTCAGAGACTGGTTTCAAACTCTGGTGTAAATGCTTAGGCTATGGAAGTGGTCATTTCAGGTGTGACTCAACTAGTGAGTAGTTCTCCGCACATTTTCCCCAAACCACCCCCCCCCTCCCCCAGCCCCCCACACTTTCCCGATTCCCTCCCCACCCTCCCCACACGTTCCCTTGGCATGTTTGAGACAGAGTTTCTGTAGAAAGCGCCGAAACAGACAAGCATGACTGGGGGTGCATTGGCCTGTCCCTGAACCCTGACCCCCCCCCCCCACGGCCAATGCAAGGGCTCACACGACTTGGAGATGACCACTTGACATGCGATCATTACATGGTCACATGGGGAACCGCCTCGCTTCTGTGGGTTTAGGAAACCAGGACGTCGGCCGCAAACCAAGACCTAGTGAGGCTTGATCGACTGGCCAGGGCATTGACGGTGCCCCAAGCGTGAGAAGTGATTCTGGGTGAATGCGTGGTCTTGTGTGGTGACTGAGAGTGGTTACAGTGACGGAAAGAGATTGAGACTTGCGGCTGGTTTACGCCGAACGGAATTACAAAGTGCACACACTACAAGATGTTCCCACGAAACCTCCCTACATCACTGGTGAGACACCCGACAGGAATGCTGTGCTCAGGCCTGGGCACTGCTGCGTGTGATTGGCAGTGCTTTGAGAAGAGGGGGAAGGGACCACAGTGATACCAGGGGGAGGGATAACGCTGAGATATCGGAGATTCTGGGACTGTTCTCCTTGGGGTAAAGAATTGGAGGAGACTGAACCAAAGCGTTCGACACAACGAAGGATTGTGATAGTCGATCGGGAAAAGTATTTTCACTGACGAGAGTCAGTGAATGGGGCAAATCTAAGATAATTGGTGAAAGTGAGAGATATTGGATGGCACGGCAGCTCAGTGGTTAGCACTGCTGCCTCACAGTGCCAGGGACCCGGGTTCGATTCCAGCCTCAGACTGTGTGGAGTTTGCATGTTCTCCCTGTGTCTGCGTGGGTTAGCTCTGGTTTCCTCCCATTGTTGTGCAGGTTAGGTGGATTGGCCATGCTAAATTGCCCGTAGTGTCCAGGGATGTGCAAGCCAGGTGGGTTAGTTATCAGGATTGCAGGGATAGGTTGGGTCTGGGTGGGAGGGTCAGCATGGACTTAACAGGCTAAATAGCCTGCTTCCACACTGTAGGGGATTCTACGATGATCTAGTCCAGAATGCACTGTGAGAGACACAGACAGGTTCATTTTTTTTAAAGATCAGTGGAAGGGGAACATCTGCAGAGCTTTGGGAAGGACGGGATGAAACTAGCGGATCGATCTTCCGACGAGCCAGCATAGGCGTTACGGGCCGAGTAGCCTTGTCGAGCATTCCTACTGACTTGTGGTGGGCCCTCAGGAGGGATGGGGATGCTGGGCCCGACCCAGTCGGTGGTGGGGTCGGGGGGCGTCCTCCAGGTCTGTGTTGGGGCACACGGAGTGGGCCAGAAGGCGTGGCACCCCTCCCCCTGCCCACCCCCCCCACCCCCCAATATGCCAATGCAGGAGTATCTTTCGGTAGTGGCCTGCCTCGTACCAAGCAGTTCAAGGAAAACCAGTGTATCCTGCTCATCGGCACCGATGGAAACTAAAATGGGAGCCTTTTCAGAGGGGTGGGTCTGCTCTGAATTCCTTCAACCAACGAGTCTAGTGGGGGACAACCTGCCTGCATTCCCTCACCCAGGAGAAGTAGCCTTAACCTGGCAGTGCTGCGGGGTTGTGAGGGTCGTTAAAGGTCCCTCACGAGACTTGAAAACATTGGTGTAACAGGGCCAGGCCACTCCACCAGGTGCCTACTCGTAGGTATTTAAAAACCCAACTCCGGGTGAGAGGGGGAAAGGCGCTTGCGTTTCTGGGGAGGAAACCGCTGCACTGCATCTTTTTGTTTTTGTTGCGTGCATGCCCCAGTCAACCAGGTTTCTGCAGCGGCTACCAGGCCTCTGTCTTCGTTGCCGCTTCGCCCTCGGAGCGAATAATTGCGAAGCCAAGGTGAGTCTGACAGAGGTCAGTTCGGGGGATGGTGCAGGGGAGGGGAGGAGGGAGGTGCTACTTCAACGCAGGGTGAAGCAGTTGTGACTGTCGCCCGAAGGGGTGTGGGCAGGCAGGAGGCGCCTTGTGTTTTGAGTTGACCCCCCTCGCTAAACTGTTCCTCCTCCTGCCCAGAATGGTGCCACGACAACGGCCAGAACTACAGAGTCGGCGAGAAGTGGAACCGCCGCGGCGACGGGGGCCACATGCTGAGCTGCACTTGCCTGGGCAATGGCAAAGGGGAATTTAAGTGTGAACCGCGTAAGTGTTTTGGTGGGGTGGTTGGCAGGGTTGGGGGGGGGTGCCTTCAGAAGGCTTGAGAGGTTAATCTGCTGCGAGACCGGCAGCCGGTCATTGCTTTCAGCTACCCACCACGGGGCAGGACCCTCTCCCCACACCCCACGTCTGAGAGTGCCCATTTCTTTGTTGACACCAACCCCACCCCCACCCCACCTCCCCCCGCCTCCATCGAACACCCATGCGTTTGCTGACTGACGTTGGCTCCTGATCGAGCAGTACCTTGATTCTGAAATTCTCCTTTGCGCACCTTTTTATGTCTCCAATCCCTCCCAGCCCCAAACTCCCTCAGTCTCTGGCAGTCTTTTGGACCGCCCGGTGTTAATCGCTCCACCATTGCTACCGCTAACCGCGCTTTTCACATTGTAACCCCTTCTTAAAACTCAACTTCTTCTCGTGCCTCGTTCCAACCCTCTGTCTGCAACACAGTCAGACGTGAGCCGAGCGTCAAGTGTGTTCTGACAGCGAGGGTGATGTACGGATGTTTGTGAGACACTTGGACACACAGGGTGTCCGTCCTGTGAGTAGATACACCAGTGTCGATGGCGAAAACGGAAATTGCTGGAAAGGCTCAGCAGGTCTGGAAGCATCCGTAGAGGGAAACCAGGAGATAACGTTTTGGGTGGAGAGACCCTTCCTCAGAACGAGATGATTTCCAGCACCCTGCAGTTCTTTCAGTTTTTAGATAAACCACTGTAGTCTCGTGAACATTTCTGGCGCTGGACATTGACTGTACTGACCTGTTTTGTCTGTTCTGTCTGCAGACGAAGCTACTTGCTACGACGAGGGGAACATGTACAACGTAGGGGAACAGTGGCAGAAGGAGTACCTCGGTGCCATCTGTACATGCACTTGCTTAGGAGGGCAACAGGTAACAACGACGGGGCTTTTATTCCACTTAATGCTGCACCCATGTAGAGTTTGGATTAAGAGCGCGGATGAGAGATGCAGCCCAAAGCGTCATGGATCCTCATCCCGCTAACTGCAAGGGTCCATGTTGAAATTCCCAGGGAGCAACCCAACCCAGGCCTGAGCACAGGCCGCAAGGAGGGGTTGCTCATTGCAGTGTCAACGGCATTGTGTTTTAACTCTGACTCCGTTGGTAACACCCCCTGAGGTTGAGTGTTCAAGTCCCATTCCAGAGCCTTGGGTTTATAATCTGGCTCAGTCCTGGCCTAGTACTGAGGAGGCACTATGCTATGGAGAGACTGAATGAATGACTTGAGGAGAACAACAGGTAACACTGGCAGGGTGTTTATTATGCTTAATGTGGAGATTGGATTGAAGAGCATGGATGAGCCAGGTGGCTCCTGCGTTAGGCTTTCAATGTACTATTGCAGGAAGGAGAGCCGGTGTCTATCCACTGGTGTCCTGGCTAACCCCTTTGAACTTGAAACGTGTGACAAATTGGCTGCCACATTCCTTTTTCTCGTATTTTTGTGCGATGAAGGTGTTGTCTGGCTAGGCAGCATTTATTGCCCATCCCTAATTGGCCAGTTAAGTGTCAACCACATCGCTGTGGGCCTGGAGTCACATGCAGGCCAGACCAGGTAAGGATGGCAGTTTCCTTCCCTAAAGGGCATTAGATGGGTTTTTCCTGACAATCAATTTGTGGTCATCTTCAGGCTCTTAATTCCGGATTTTTGTTGAGTTCAAATTCCACCATCTGCCGTGGCAGGATTCGAACCCAGATCCCCAGAACATTATCTGGGTTTCTGGATTAATAGTTCAGCTGTAAATGCTGCCTGGGCCATCGCCTCCTCACAGTCCTATGACAGCAGGGGCTGGAAGTTTGTTACAAGACATTGTGTGGCTGCAAAAGCTGGCCCATGGCCTAAAACCCTGATAACTTGCCCACCATCACATTTTCATTTTAAAAGTCACGGTTTTGGGGTTGAAATCCATCCACGGCCTTCCCTTTCTTGCCCAGTCTTCCTGTCCGTCTCAATTCCTCCGACCGCTGTGCTTTACCAAATCCTAGCCGCTGACAACACGCCGTCTCCGAACCAGCGGCGCCCAGGTCCTTCAGTTCTGGCATCCTGCCTCACCTCCTCTGACCTCCAGGACCAAGACTTCTGGCCTCGCGACCCAACCGCCCCCTCCGCGCCGTTTAAATTCCAGCTGAGGACGCTCCTGCGAAACGCGCTTCCACCAAACGGGGTTGACTCTTCTGGTTTTACAGGGTTGGCGATGCAGCAACTGCCACAGGCCCGGGTTTGACCCGCTGGTAGATGGAACTAACAGCCAGTCATCTGAGTCATCATTGTCCCAGTATACACAGATAAGACACGGAACAAGGGTGAGTAGAAACCAATTCTCAAAATGCATGAAAAGAAAAACACTTGTACCAGAGAAGGTGAGGGAGAAAAAAGTGGCATCGAACCTCCGGGCAGTGTTGGTAAAAGATCCCTCATGATTATGACAGTCCCCTTGGCAACCTTCCCGTCTTCCCAGCTAATGGACGGGCTAGGCCGTGCCAATGTGGAGGGTGGATTTCAGGGCCCTTGCAGCGGGTTCGAGAAACCAGCTCGCCGCCGACTCTCCCCGCAGTGGGCCCTCCTGCTGAGCCGAGGCCCACGCGTGCCAACGGCTCCCGGAAGCGGAAGCTGCGCGTTGGCTTGCCGTGCGGCCCAACCTCAAGGGGGCACAGTGCTCACAGCTGCCGACGTCCCAAGGAATTGCGTTTGGAGAAACAGAGACGGTGGGCTACGCCTCTCTTCCACATTGACATCTGCCCTTGGGCATCCCTTGAGAGGGAGCGCGCAGGATCCGCCAGCATGGATACAGGCCCCCACCCCCCCCTCGAGCCCAGCAGGCACCACAGGGGCTGCGATTTTTCACCGCGCCCCCCCCCGCCCCCGCCCCCCGCGATTCATAACGAGATCCGTTCGCGCGGGGACAAAGTCAGAAATTGCTGGAGAAACTCAAGCAGCTGTGACCATGTCCTGCGGAATTTCTAAAGGAGGGTCACGGGACCCCGAAACGTTCACTCATGCTTTCTCTCCGCATATGCCGCCAGACCCGCCGAGTGTCTCCAGCAACTTCCGGCTTGGCTTCAGATTCCCAGCGTCCGCAGCCCCTTTGGTTTCTCCATTTTGACGGGTTGCTGATTTTGATTTTTGTTGCGAGCTTGTTGGAAGATAAAGAAAAAGACAGACGGTGGGCCCCACCTGTTGTGTGGTTGCGTTCACACGCTGGAGCTCTTCAGGTCTCTGATGTGTAGCGGGTACCGCAGGAGCTGGTGGGGGGGTCATGAGCTTCCAGTGTAATTCGACTTGTGTGTTCTCTTTAGCGTAGGAGAAAGAGCGGGCCAGACTTAGTCACCTGATTTGTCAGGAGTGATGACCTGGAATAGCAACTGGCTGCGTGAACTGGAAACCTTGGGTAGGCAGGGAGGAGCGAGTGAGCCAGGTCGACAGTAACGTTGCGCTGGGACGGCTGCGTTTCGGAGCAAACGGGTTGGCTCAGCACTGTCAGTCAGTCCAACAGCAGCGAGAGCCTCCATGACGGGGCGGTTCCACGTCAGCGAGCCCAAAAAAAAACCCGTTAGTTATTACTCGCTGTCGTTTTGCTCCGCTGTCCGCTCTGACCCCGTTAGGAAGCACCGCCAGAAGGAACGAGTCCGCAGTGTTGGCGCGCAGTGTTGGCAGGAGGGTAGCAGGGAGGTGGTCACCATCAGCGTGTAGCTCAGGTCAGGTTCAAGCTAATGGACAGTCCCTCACTGCGTCATCAGTTTGCCTCGAAATGGGGGTCACGGTGGGGCAAGGGAGGCTTCGCATTGTTGCGGACTTTCTCCTCTGTACAGACTGGTACTACCTTCACCCTTTTGTGGTTGCAGCTCTTTTGTCCTGTCTTTGGTATCACTTAAGCCTGAAGGGTCCATGGGTCAAAGCCAAGGGGAATGCGAGCTGACAAGGAGAACAACAGCTGACAGTCTGGTCTGACTTCAGGTCAAAGTCTGAGGCACAGCCTGCTGAGTTTTTTTTTGAGGAAGCAGCCACAAAGATTAAGAACAGAGCAGTAGATGTTGTTTACTTGGATTTCAGTAAAGCCTTTGACACGGTTCCACACGGTAGACTTTAGTTAGTAAAGTTAGATCACATGGTATTCAGGGGGAGCTCAACAATTGGATACAAAATTGGCTTGACGGTAGGAGACTTGACGATAGGAGACATGAGGGTGGTGGCGGAGGGTTGTTCCTCGGACTGGAGGCCTGGGACCAGCTGTGTTCCCACAGGGATCAGTGCTGGGCCCACTTTTGTTTGTCATTTATATAAATGATTTAGGTTAAAATATACAAGGCGTGGTCAGTAGGTTTGCAGATGACACAAAATTGAGGGTACAGTAGACAGTGAAAAGGGTCATCTAAGATTACGAAGAACTTTTGATCATTTGGGTCAGTGGGCTGAGGAGTGGCAGATGGAGTTTAATTTGGATAAATGCGAGGTGCTGCACTTTGGTAAAACTAAACCAGGGCAGAACTTACACAAGGAGGGCCTTGGTTAGTGTTTGCAGAAGGGAGAGACCTCGAGGTTCAGGTAAATAATTCTTTAAAGTTTGCGCCACGTATGGATAGGGTGGTTAAGAGTTTTTTTTTTAAACGTAGTGTTTCGTGCGTGGAATGAACTTCCAGTGGAAGTGGTGGACGTGGGTACAGTTACAACATCTTAAGAGACATTTGGATAAGCTCATGAGTGAGAAATGTCTGGAGGGAAATGGGCCAAGCACAAGGCAGGTAGGACTAGTTCAGTTTGGGAACGTGGTCGGCACGGACTGGTCGGAAGGAAGGCTGTTTCTGTGCTGTATGACTCTTAAAAGGGAGAGCGCGCCCGTTGTGGGAGGTCACTTTCCCCCGGTTGCTGAAGCAGGACGGTGAGAGAGACGGCAGGTTTTCTAACCACGTGTGTTCTCTCCCTTCGACACACAGTACATACACTGCCCGGTGGAATGCAGGAGCCAGGGGAGTTTGCTGGCTGACTCTGGGCAGCTGGAGTAGGGCGACAGACGGCGAGAGCAGAGCTGCAGGCGACAGCTGCTTGGAATAGCGACAGGAGCTTCCGGGATAGCGCGTGCTTAGCACGTCCGACTACGTTCTTCCAGCTTCAGCACCACTCTCCTTTTTTCTCTCTCTCTCTCACACACCCACTGACCCCTCCCTCCCTGTCCTCCAGCTCCTATCACGGCCCTGCACCTGCACAAGGGGAGTGTCTGTCACGGAAAAAGTCGAAGGCAATCAAAGACATTTTCCGTTTTTATTTCCTTTCAAGAAAAAAAATCGAACTGCGTTGGGCTTTTGGTGCTCGTCGCTATTGAGTGCAGCCCATTAGCAACACCGCACCCTCCATCGTTAAGGACCAAGCCCCACCTTCCTCCCCACCCCTCCTTGATCATAGTCTACCTGATAAAAGGATGAAAGGAACGACATTGTTACTTAATTAATTAAAAAAAAGCACGACCTTCTATTCCACAAATGCTGCAGGACCCCCTCCCCAAGTGTCTTAATGATCACAATGTTGTAATTGTCTTGACTGTAATGAGCTGTTATTTATCGAAACCTTTCTGCCCCCCACCTCCCCCAACCCATGCAGTGTTTATTCTATTGTAAACCTTTTATACTGTTTAACACAAACGAGGATTGGGCACTGCTCTGGCGATCGTGTTTCTAGTTGTTTGTCGGTGTATTTGCCGCGATCAGTGTTTATAGATGCCAGTGCCTTTTTATTTTCTAACCTACGGATGGAAAATCCTCAATTCAATAAAACTTTTACAAAAACAAACAAACAAAAAAATGACGCGTGGTTTTTCCTCCCTCTGGCACTTCGCACCGTTTCAGGGACAGAGGCGGCCTTTGGGGGGGGGGGGGGGGACACAGTCCCGATATTCCCTGCAGTTGGACTGTAGCAGTGCCAAGATGGTGCCATTTGAGCCTCTTCCTCCAGCCCTCAAACACCCTCCCTCCACCCCACCCAGGTTTGTGCACCTTTTCGCGCCCCATGCTCCCAATTATCCAAAAAGGAAGGTGGTGCCATTCTCCCCCAATGTTTGTTGCACCAAGTGAATTGCTCATTGGGGCAAGATACTTTAAGAGAGTTTTAAGCAACTCTTGGATAGGCACATGGAGCATAGTAAAATGTAGGGTATGCAGCGTAGATTGATCTTAGTAGGATAATAGGTCGGCACAACATCGTGGGCCGAAGGGCCTGTACTGTGCTATGACCGGACTCCATTTGACATTCCCGTCTCCCTGAATTCCCTGCCGGATTCCACGTGTTATCGTCACAAAAGGCGGGAAAGAATTCTGGAACTGACCGCGACTGGTCTCAAAAGCCGTTGCGGACAGTCCTGGCCTGATAGCTTCCTCCCAGGTTTCCACCATCCTGCGACGGTTTCACGTTCTCGAAACTACCCGCTAGGTTCTACTAGTTCTCATGGCACCACCCCACTCCCCCAATGCCCTCTGCGTTTCAGACATGGGGACTAACTAGCGTCGCCTTGAAGCTGGCACAGAATCGATGGCTCAGAGGGTCCCTCGTCTGCGCTGGCTCGATCCTTCACTGATTTTGAGGTGCCCCACCTCAGAAAAACTGGGAGCGTTGGAGATACCAGCCCAGAGAAGAGCAAGCCACTTCTAGATCATAGATCATACAATCCTGACAGTGTGGAACCAGGCCCTTCAGCCCAACGAGTCCACACCGACCCACACAGCATCCCACCCAGACCCATCCCCCTACAAACCCACCTAATCTACGCATCCCTGAACACTATGGGCAATTTAGCATGGCCAATCCACCTAGCCTGCATATCTTTGGACTGTGGGAGGAAACCGACGCAGACATGGGGAGAATGCGCAAACTCCACACAGTCACCCAAGGGCAGAATTGAACCTGGCAGCAGTGCTAACCACTGAGCCACAGTGCCACCCCATTCTCTCTCTCTCTCTCTCCATTGCACTTGTGGAGTATCGTGTCCTGTTCTGGTCTCCCTGTTCTGGGAAGGATTTTATTAAGCTGGAGAGGGCTCAGAAGAGGATGTCGCTGGGAATGGAGGAGTTTCAGTTATAAGGAGAGGCTGTGTAGGCCAGGACATTTTTGTTCACTGGAGCGTAGGAGGTGACCTTATAAAAGTTTATAAAATAATGAGGAATATATAGACAAGGTGAATGGATAGGTATCATTTCCCTAAGGTGGGGCATTTCAAGACTGCAGGGCATAATTTTAAGATGAGAGGAGAAAGTTTTTTTTAAGAAGACACGAGGAGCAACTTTGTTTTACACAGAGCGGTTCGTGTGTGGAACAAACTTTCCCGAGGAAGTAGTGGATGTGGGTATAGTTACAAAGTTTAAAAGTTCACGAATAAGAAATGCTTGGAGGGACATGGGTCAAGCACAGGCAGGTGGGACTAGTTCAGTTTGGGATTATGGTCGGCGTGGACCGGTTGGACCGAAGGGTCTGTTTTCGTGCCGTATGACTCTAAATCACAAGGTGTTCCAAGTTCTCCCCCCATAGTCACACAAGACTCAGCTTCGGCTTCCGAACTGTGGGCATTTATTTGGTAAAACTAAACGGAGGCACATTGCTCTAGCGAGCGGGTGTCACCCCAGAAATTTTCTTCATATACAAAAACAACAATCTTTGGAAGGCAGGGCACGTTCTGCCAAATCAATCTGGGCCATGGTACAAACAACATCTCTTTGCGATAACGGCCTGTGACTGGGTCACACTCGGAGGCATCCTGCCCTGGGACTGTGTGTGTGTGTGCATGAAGCCTCTAGTGGTGGAAGAGTCGCAGGTTGGTGTGGAACAGTGTTATACCCAGCTGCTCACATGCATGGATCACGACCCGGTCAGCTGCTGACCCAGACGGGGCGACGATGAAGTCAACTCCACTCTGTCCGGGGAGGGTGGGAAAAGGAGAGACAGAAACGACAGGAATTTAATACGGATACAGTCTGTAATTCCCACTCCTCGCAAGACCCCACCTGGAGCAGCATACTTCCTGCAAGGGAACCCACACCTTGGGAAGAACGGACAAAACTGGTACCCTTACACGGAGAGGCTTAAAATGATAAGGACAAGAACGGAAGCTGCTGGAAAAGCTCAGCAGATCTGGCATCATTTTTGGAGACAAGTTAAAGTTAACACTCTGGGTCCGGCAACCCTTCCTCAGAACCAACGCTAACTCTTTGATTTCTCTCCACTGATGCTGCCAGACCTGCTGAGCTTTTCCAGCAACTTCTGTTTTGGTTTCTGACTTACAGCATCCGCAGTTCTTTCGGTTCATACTAAAACAGATACAGTGGAACAAACTCTGAAGTTAAGAGCTAAAATTAAAGGTGAACATATTCGAGAGTCAACGGGGGTTAGGGTATTCATCAGCTGTGACCTTAACTGAGCTACAAAAAGCTGATTGGCCTCTTGTTCCTGTTTGGTCCTCATTGAAACCCACTATATTCCACACCCAGTGAGGCTGGGACCTCTAACAAAATGGTCCCAGGGTTCCTGCATGGCACAACCTACATAGCTGCTCTGTTTACTCCGAAATCAATCAACTTTAATTCTTTCCGACTGCGGTACATACGGAGGGACGCCACGTCAGCGCAAAACCATCTCAAAAAAGTACACCGAAACATTGAGACAAATCTGTTCCTTATGGTAGCTGATTGTCATGATCGTCTCAGGCATATCCAATAGTTTGTCAAGCCGCCATTTTAGGTCAGCTGCACCCCACCACGAACAGCAGACTCGAGCTAACGTGCTTTTTATTAATTAAATCCAACTTGGTCCTCGATACCCGAGCCAGAGCAAATCATCACCGATTTTTCTGAAGTGGGGAAAGGCTTAAGATGAACGAGGATTACCGCAAGGCACAACGTAGAGATGGCAGACAACATCCATCTCTGCTCTACCTCAAAGCAGCCTGTCCTAATGCAGTTTTTTTCCTGCCCAGTCCCACGGCACTCTTCCACGGATTCAGCAGATACTTAGGAGGGTGCATCTCAAATCCCCCAACAGCCTTCAGAACTGAGTCTAACCCCATTTTAGATTCAATGGCCTTCCACCATTAATTCCCACTGAACAACAACGTGGCTCCTTTGACGCCCCCATAAGATTTCTCTGCACCGGAGCTGCAAACTTGTTCCGCAAAACACTTCGTGCGACTATTCCTTCCTTTCTGCTGGCAACATCACGACGAACTGGAGTTTTCCCCATGTGAGCCAAAACTGCGTGTCATTCTCAACTGTGGCTTGACTGACCAGTGTCTCCTTTTGACAACCCTTTGTCGTCTCGAGCCTATTCATGAAACAAGGCCTCATGGTCTAGGGATTAGAGACTGACCAACAGCCAGGCCTACGTTTCAGTGCGGGAGAGGAGACAGACGGGGCAAGAAAAGTTAACAGTGGTCTCTGACGACAAACATCCAGCGCAATAACTAGATTCGCGTTTTTGTTTTAAACAGAGATGCAGATCAGCATGTCAAGGTTAAAGATGCAAGATGTTGAACAAGGCCATGTCTCAGACTAGCAGCCTGTGTACCAGCTCCGATGTGACCAGTGTAATGAGAAAACCAGCCCCAAACCCCCCACTCCCCAAAAGGTGTGGCCTCTCTTTGGGAATGGCTCACCCCTTCAAACCCTTGACCCCAGGGCTTTGGGCGAAGCATGGTGATTGGATGGGCAGCCCTCAGGCCAGATCCAACCCTGGGATCCGTGGACAAAGATCTGCACCTAATTCACTTGGAGCGCTCCCCAACCTCCATCCCCGTCAAATTGGGACTCCGCAAAATGCCTGACAACGGCGTTTCCACAGAGACCCAAGCGTATTCCCGACGAATTCAGGTGGGATCCTTGATCCCGAGGGGCAGCACTCTTTCCTGGGACACTTGAGGATGTATGCTGGTCGGCTCGCCCACCGCAACGCAGGCCTGAGAGGCCTGGTGCCTCCAATGTTTCCTAACAACCTCCACTCCCACAATCCCCCACAGAAAACAGCAGCCATATTGATTTGGTGCATGGGGTCCACGGCACATTTGGATGCACTGTGCTCTGCGGGGGGTGGCTGTGACATCCCCTCCCCCCACAGCGAGCACAGTAGGCGACAGGGGGCGCCAGCCACTCACCTTCTTGGCCCGCTCGACGTTGTCACGGAACGGGAAGAAAGCGTCCGAGCTCAGGGCAACACCGCTCAGCCGGGAGATCCAGTTCTTCCGCTCGGTGTCCGAGAGTGGCTCAGGGGGCTCCTCGAACATGGCGCGCCAGGCGGGCAGATCCTCCTCCTGACCGGCCCACAAGAAAAACAAGGCAAAGGACAGAAGGGAAGTCAGTCAGTACCAGTCCCCTGGATACACAGCGGCGGAGTTAATCAACGAAGAGCCCACTCAGGCAACAGGGCCCGAGTCCCGTCCCAGTGACACGCGCGCTCCCTTCCCTCCCCCGACCCACTGCTGCCCGTCAGCGTACACAGGTCATGAGTTCAAAGTCCCACTCCAGAGACCTGGCGCCAAAATCTGCTGTGGTGCCAAGACCGCCTGCAGGTCGCTAGACAAACGCAGGTCAGATCTTTTGCATGGGGATATGAGAATGCTGCTGAATTCCCTGATGGATTTACCTCACGGTGGGGGGGGAGGCGACTGCACTATCACGCACACCACGGTAAACATCTGGTTTCAGACCCCGACAGCAAGGCTGACCTTCGACCTCTCCGCCACGTTAGTCAACTCGAGGCAGGGAGGTGAAGTGAAGATTCCTGGGGGTTGGGGTGGGGGTGGGGGCCGCGCGCGCGCGCCGGTGTGC